ACGATTGCTTCAAGCTCGCCGGAGTTCTTCCAACTCTCCTTATGTTGAATCCGATACTGGTTAAGATCAATTTAAGCTCACCGGAGAAAAACCGCCATAATGGTCTTGGTACCCTCAACCGTATGAGTCACCGAACATGCAAATGAATGCAATATGAATGATAAAAGTGTTCGATAAATCACCAAGTAAACATGGAACACTTGATGATTTATCTCAAATAAAAACGCAACTTTCTTAAATGTTTGAGCACACAACATTATTGTTCAAAAGTTGTACAAAAAGAAAAACATCAAGCCTTATTTTATATTACTTTTTCTTCTCTAGGAAGAAAAGTCCACGTCCAAAACACAAGCAATTTCATTGAAGGCTAACCAAATAAGCAAAGATATGTTTACTAACCAAATTACTTGATTTGCATGAATTGAATAACATCAAAAAGATATTTTCCTATTCTAATGATGATCACACTAAAAAAGTCAAAACAATCCCACAATTAAAGGAGTCCTAATATTGTTAGGTCAACTACCAAGAATATGATTAAAACTTGATGCACTCCTAACACATTATCATTTATTTGGAGAAGTCCCATTACACAAACTGTGCTTCCTTCTTTAATGTACCTGATAATAACAGATCCTTTATCATGTACTTGATCCGGTTTTGGTTGATGATCTTTCGTTTGGTTTTGATGTAACTTTGTAACACACTTCACTTTGGAGAAGCCAATTTTCTCATAGATGGGAAAAGACAGTTGACAGTTGCCTTTTTAAATTTTCCACGCTTTTTTGTTTTTGGTTTTTGGTTTACCTTCTTCTCCTGTCACTGCATGGGGTTGCTCATTATTTTATACAAACAACGTGGTGTACTACCAATCATACATTAAATTACATTTTCAAGTAGTATTGATTTCTTATTCAATTTTCACAATTTCGTTCTTAAACAAATTAATCATTCAGATTGTATACTTTTGCATAATTTGTTGTTTTATTGTTATCATAGTTTTACATAATTTGTGACATATCATAGTTTTGCGTAATTTATACAGTTGAGAATGAATTATGTTTGAATCGGTAGCTCGCAAACGAATTGGACACTCTGAGCCGTTGTATTATAATGAATGAACCTGTATTACATCAATGGCCGGAGTGCCGGTTAGCATTTCTCGTGAAATTATTATGTTCAAGATTCATATTTCGTGTACGAAAAAGTTGGTCTACAGTTGAATCCATCCACCAGGTCAGTTCCTCAGCTACAGTTGGACATTAGCCCCACTTCACCCCTACTCCGCCGTCCAAGCTTAATAACTGTAACAACAGGACCTCTCTCTCTCTGAAATGAGTTAGAGTCCCATAAGCAAGAAGAAAATGATGTCTCTTCGTACCCAAACCTTTTCTTCTTAGACTCCCCTTCCTTTCTATATATATATATATATCCACTCCCACACATACACAGAAAAGCCCTCAAGCAAAGAAAATGAGATCCCTCTTGAACAAGATGATGATCACTTCACTCCTTCCGCTCACCCCCTACCTCCTCTCCCTTATCTTCTTCCTCCTCCTCCTCGAACAAATATCCTACCTCACCAAAAAACGCGCCGCGCCGGGCCCACCCCTCGTCCTCCCATTCCTTGGCAACGCAATCTCACTGGTCCGCAACCCGACCCGCTTCTGGGACTGCCAATCCGCTCTCGCCAAGTCATCCTCACTCGGCTTCTCCTCCAACTATGTCATTGGAAAATTCATCCTCTTCATTCGCGACACCCATCTCTCCCACAAAATATTCTCCAATGTCCGCCCCGACGCCTTCACCCTCGTGGGCCACCCCTTCGGTAAGAAGCTCTTCGGCGACCACAACCTCATTTACATGACCGGCCAAGAACACAAGGACCTACGACGTCATATTGCCCCTAGCTTCACTCCTAAGGCCCTCTCAACCTACACCGCCCTGCAGCAGATCATTATCCTCCACCACTTGCAAAACTGGCTTCGACTCTCCTCACAGGCCCAACCCGACCCGATCACCCTCCGGTTTCTAGTCCGCGACATGAACCTCGAGACTTCTCAGACCGTCTTCGTCGGGCCCTACCTGGTCCCTGCCGCCTGCGAGCGGTTCAAATTCGACTACAATTTTTTCAACATCGGCCTTATGAAGCTCCCTATCGACCTTCCCGGCACCGCGTTTCGAAACGCGAGGCTCGCCGTGAGCCGCCTCGTCGAAACACTCTCTATTTGCGCCGAACAGAGCAAGGCCAGAATGGAGATTGCAAATGCCAAGCCTACTTGTCTCATCGACTTCTGGATGCACGAAACGGTTCAGGAGCTCCGAAATGCAGCTCAGGCCGGTTCCCTAGAACCGGTGGTCATCAGTGAAGTCGAGATAGGGGCGCACCTCTTCGACTTCCTCTTTGTAGCGCAGGACGCTTCCACGTCTTCGTTACTATGGGCGGTGACGTTACTCGACTCGCACCCGGAGGTTTTGGCGAAGGTTCGGGACGAGGTCTCCGAAATTTGGTCGCTGGAGTCGGACAGTCTGATCACAGCGGAGCAGCTCTCGCGAATGAAGTACACGTACGCGGTGGGGCGTGAGGTCGTGAGGTACAGAGCTCCGGCAACTATGGTCCCGCACATTGCCGCAGTTGACTTTCCATTGACCGAGACGTACACGATCCCGAAGGGCACCATTGTGTTCCCCTCGGCTTACGAGTCATGCTTTCAGGGATTCACTGATCCGGAGCGCTTCGACCCGGACCGATTTTCCGACGAGAGGCAGGAGGACCGGATTTACAAGAGGAATTACTTGGCGTTTGGGGCTGGGGCCCACCAGTGTGTGGGCCAGAGGTACGCTTTGAATCATCTCGTCCTCTTCATTGCCATGTTCTGTACGTTGATTGATTTCAAGAGGCACAGGACGGAAGGCTGCGATGACATCAAGTTTGTCCCCACCATCTGCCCCAAAGACGATTGCAAGGTTTTCTTGTCCCAACGGTGCACAAGATTCCCTTCCCTGTCTTTACCGTGATTCAAAAGTCGAAAGTACCCTCGTTTTCGTTGCTTTCTAATTTGTTCGTTTTAAGGTTTATTTTTAAGGGGAATGCTAGCAACCTTCTCTCCAACCTTCTCCCCTTTCCTCATGACATGTGTCCATTTCCTTACACTTAAAACAATGTAACTAATGCATCAAACAAGCTAACATTTTTTTCCAAGTTTACCCTTATTAAATGTTGTCCTTCAATTTGTTCAAAAATAATTTTACAACTCTCTTACCACATGTAAAAAATTAAATAATAAAAAAGTCAATTTTAAAAAAAGAAAAATGTCTATTTTTTTTCATAGATAAAACTTCTATTTTTTTAAACACCAAAAAATGACCTAAAAAAAACACTCAGTAGAAAGATCACATTTTTAGAAAGAAAAAAGACTTCCTTCAAAAGGAAGTTCATTAATTGTATTTTTTTAAACTACTAAATAAAGTTAAAGAGCATTTTCAGTAACAACTAAAAATATTTATAAAAAAACACAAATAATCATATTCGAAGGGAAGTTCATAGTTTTATTTATATCCCTTATTGCCTTTGGAGTTTGATTATTTCAAAGAAAAAAAAAATCCTAAAATTTAGGCATACCAAATTTTCAATTTAAACCAATGTCTCTCCTTACTCCCTTTTGAGTCTTTCAAAAAACAAAAAATAAAACTAACGTTTTTTCTTATTTAAATTTTAAGTTTTATTTGAATGTCCCGTTAGAGTCTTTTTAAAAAAAACGTTTTTTCTTAATTAATTTTTAACAAGGTGGTAAGAAGTTTGTAAAAAATTTGGATAAATTAAAGGAAACATTAAAATCAATATATTTAATAAGGGTAAATTTGGAAAACAAATGATAGCTTGTTTAATGCATTAATTACATTGTTTTAAGTGTAAAGAAAGGGACACATGTCATGAGGTAAGGGGAGAAGGTCCAAAGGAGAAGGTTGGAGAGAAGGTTGCTGGCATTCCCCTAATGCAAAATAGGCACCGCCCCTTAAAGCCTACTAATTGACAAAATTAATAGGGTTTTGATTTTCCTATCCTCTTTTTTCCGTTTATACTTCCTTTTATTTTTTAATATTTTTTACTATAACAAAATTGGAGTGCAAGTTGACAAAAAATGAGTAAAAAAATCAACTCTCAATTAATAAAGGCATAAAAAATAATGCTATATTCAGTTTGGATTAGGCTCTGAGTGCTAGTGCTATTATTTTGTTTGGAGTATTCAAGTCTATCCTTTTGCTTGGTTTGAGGGTTCTGATTAGTGATTTGATGTGGGTTTTGGGGGATTGATGAAAAATTAAATGTTGGGTTTGTCGAGAGAGATGGGTGTGAGGAATGGTTTTAGGGGTTTCACTTTTTTGTTTTGTTTTTTGGATACAAGTGATATCGGGGAAAGGTGAATCGAAGTAGGGACCTAGAATGCAGGAGTAAGTGTTCTGAATCACTTAACTACGAAACCAAGGTCTAAAACAAAATCCAACGACCAAAATGTAAATTAACTAACCTAACCTCAAAATCATCCTAAAGTATATAAATACACACTTTTTTGTTCATAGTATGTGTGTTTGTCCATCATTTATTAAATAAATTTTTGTTTTTGAAATTAGATTTTATAAATGTTAAAATGTTCAAAAAAAATAAATCATGATGGTATAAACTAACATTAACTTAAGAAAAATTAAACACAAAATACTTTTAGAGTTAAATGATTCTTAAATAATTAATAAAGTTACATACTAAAATTTTGAGTCATATAGGGTTGGAGGAAAAAACTGTTTGAATCCGGTCAACACATGAATAGTTGTATTTTGAAGGGAAATTTTTTGAATTTAACCCTATTTGAGTTGAAGATGGTGAAAACAGAGGGCCATAATTAAATGGGCGCTAAATGGTACGGTGAGAAAACAGAGGGCCATAAATGAGCGATTCAAAATAGGCAACAAATTGAACGGTGAAGATTGATGAAGCCTCGAACATTACGAAGGAAATTACCCTTTGGTTCTTGCACGTTTCCAAAGACATATTCAATGGGAGCAGCTAGCAGAGAGTAAAAGACGCTTCCTCTTTTGATCACACTCACACCAGCAGAACAGAACAGACACAAGAGTAAGCTCTCTGTATTTGAGAGTTACAGAGAGAGATGGGTAGGAGACCAAATGCTTCAAGAAAGGAAGGAACGGTTCATACGGTGAACTTCTCTTAACTTTCATCTTTGTTTTGCTTAACCAGCATTTTATTTATTTTCAACAAAGGCTGAAGCTTTTTTCTTCTTCTTTTGTTTCTTTCTAAACCCATTGTACAATTTAACATACGTTGCTTTATTGGTTGGTTGTATTGCTGCACCATGCGTTTCTTCTGATTTTTGTTTTTCTATTTCTTGTTTTTCCTTTCATGGTTAAAAGTTTTTTTCTTCTCTGTTTGTTTATTGTGTTTACTCGTTGAGTCTTTGTTCCCTTTTGGGAGATGTCGATTTATGTGTCCTGTATTTGTTGTTTTGTTATAATATTACTTTTTAGGGTTAATGGTTTTTTTATTATTTATAATTTTAGGATGGTGGTGGATTTAGGGTTTTGTATATATTAAAGACAGAGATGCGTTTCTCTGAATTACAAACAAGTTGATTTATGTATTTGAGGCATCCTTGTTTTGATTATAAAATGTTACGTATTTTAGCTGCCTCTATTGACACTACTCTTCATCTTCTTGCATTCCATATTTTGAGAGCATAAAGATTATGCTATATTCAGTTTGGAATGGTAGAGAGGCTAAATGAGGAATGCTAATAGTCTTATTTTGTTTGGAGTATTCATGTCTATGCTTTGCTTGGTGAGGAACTTGACATTTTAATGGAAGTTCTTGCTTTAATTTGTTTTGTAAAACAGAAATAAAAGAATGCTTTACAGAAATTATGTGTATTATTTTTTGAAAAATAAAATGTCTTACAGAGGGCCCTTCTTCATATTCTTTAGCTTTCTAGTAATTCCCTATGTTTTTGTAAATGCAAAGATCAAATTATCTTTAGGTAAACACATGAAGAAGCTTGTCCATGTCTGGTTCTTCAATGCATTTGTAGTTGCAGATTAGATTACTGATATTTTGGTTCTCTTTTATTAGCAATTTTGTTCCCTTCTTCAATGATAGTGTCTTTTATTATTATTACTATTATAATCTGCACATACTAAATTGAATTGTTTAATTATGGTTAATTAAACTAATAAATGATTATGGTCTTCAAATCAAAGGCTGAAGCCAAACAAACCCAACCATTATCTGAAACTGAGGAACCACAGCCTGAGGGGCCAAATCCTTCTTCAGAGCAAATGGACCAGCAACATGAAAACGCAAGCCCTCCACTGGAGGAAACTAACTCAATGCATATGATGCAAGAAAAATCTACTAAATCCTCTCATTCAAAAAAGAGACCGAAGCAGCTCAATTCTGTTGTTAGGCGATCTTTACGCATTCGAAACTGTGATATGCCTGTTCAAAACCAGAACATTGAGCCCGTGATTGAAAACATTAGTGATAGTGAGATGGAAGAGGAGCAACCTCCTTTGGAGGAACAGCCAACCTTGGGTGAGAAAAGCATGGAAGAAAAAATTGATTATCTTATACAATTAGTGGAAACACAGAACTCAAAGGTATTCATCTTGTTCTGGGGATTATTAGAGTTTGATGTTTACTTGCATATATTAATTTGTGTTGCTTATTCAAACAATTTATTGGGGATGTGTAATCAGGCAAAGAAGAGAAGCCCCGTCTTTTCTAAATCTCCAGAGTTAGGATACAAAAGCTTGTATATAAACTCTCAAACGAAGGTTATTTTCATTTATCGGGAAGAACTATCTATCTTTTTTTCCAGGGCTATAACATTTCTTTACATATGCAGATTGAGGCTTTGAAAAATGAAAACCATGAGCTTTCTTTGAAGTTGGAAGTAGCTCTTGGCAAACTTGAAGGGGTAAGAAAATTTATGCTACCTTGAATTTCCATATCAATTAGGATGTGTGTAATTTGTCCACTTTATGGTTTGTGCATCTTTCTTTTGGGTCATTGTGGGTTTTGTCACTTTTAGTAATATCTAAAGTATAAATCATACGGCTATAATTAACAAATTGCAGTTTATAACACCATCCGGAGATTTAAAAGGAAAAGGATAGTTTTGCATGTAAGAGTTGTAAATGACGTGGACCAATGCTTGATTCTTGATTGTCATTTTTTCTTTGGTTGGCTGTAGTATGAGAAAGGGACTTGTGCATTTTCCGGAGTGATGGAGAAAATGAAGGATGTGATTTTGGTCTCAGCTTTATCAAAAGCTACTGAAAGAGTTGTAAATGTCTCATCTCAAGCAGTAGGTGATAATGCTCTTTCTCCCCAGGGTCGCAAGTATGCAGCTAAAAGAAAGAAACAGTCCTAAAGCAATGAAAGGAGCTGAGGACAATGGTTGATATGATTGGCTTGGCAGTCTTTTGTAAAAAAATTGGAACGTGTTAGTTTGGGAACTAGCTTTATTTTGTTAGAACATTGAAGGGCATGTTACTGATGGTTTAAGCACTCAGGACTCGGTTCATATGATATCTGTTTGGTTGTTGAAATTTGAAGTGTGACTTTGGTTTGTTATTAAGAATTAGAAGTTAATCTAACGTTCTCAAGCTTATTCTATGATTAGCAGTACCGTGTGATTGAAGTTTGTGATTTGATTATAACAGTTAAGATGTATAATATTCCTTCCCTAAAGATATAGTTTTTTTTGTCAATCTTTTCCGCGAGCTGGTTTAGGTATGGTAAGCTGCCTTTTCTTACTACAAATCTGGGTTTAGGCTCATCGACCCTTGTTTTGTGCCTCATGAAGTGGGATTGAAAACTTTTTCTTAGAACTCTTTATGGGTCTTACAGAGACCATATATACTATATAGTGGGACAAAAAAAGGGTTTTAGTTACTCTCTGAGTTGGGAAAAATAGTGTCCAGGAAAGTGAAAATAGAAGAATTGATTCATTTCCATTGAGATCGCTTATTGGAAACCCCTGGAACTGGGTTGATAAATTATGACATTTGCTAATTTAGTATGCCATGCCATGCATGACGCACAGCAATATTGCTATATCCATATTTTGTTGCTGAGTAGTAGTAACTTACTTTAACAGAACATAAGACTATATGGCATCAAAATTTACATCAGTAAACGTTAATTCCAAATCCGAAAGAAACAAATTGTAAAACCATTCTAATGATCTTCGTGAAAACACACATCATCAAGAAGAGGGTCGGAGAAGCCAAAAAGATTGGTTTGGGGTGTTTGAGAAACTTCGTTATCACCATCATCTTCATTTGCCTCTTCTGCTATCGGTCGTGGTGGAGACGAGAAGTCTAAGCACAACCCTTGTATAACTTGTTCATATGAAGCAGAGAGGTCATGGGAGGTTAGCTGGTGGTACTCCACAAGTTGATTGAGGCATTGGTTTTCCCTAACCAGATTTGCATTTTCATTTGCTAATCTTGATTTCTCAGCTAGCAGTGCCTCCAATTGAAGCCTCACCTATATCAACATCAAATATTCCACAAGAGATTGATTAATGTTGTGCAAATGTTATCCCATATCAGAAAATATCCATTGGGAACAATCGAAACACACGAGTCTCACCAGATCATCTTCCTCAGGCCTCAACCCTTTATGCAATCCATCTCGGAGCCTCCTGTTCTCCTCCTCCAGCAGAGCACAGCGCTCTTGCATAAAGCATAAATCCGACCTTATTGACTTCAGTTCCCTGGCAAACGAAGCTGCTTTGGTTGCCATAGAAATTGCAAGCTGTGGAGAGATAAGCACACAATTAGCAATCAACTCAAAGTAGGCAGCTAAGAAGGTCCCATCAAAGATTTTCACACTGAACAAAAAGAAGAGAAACCTACATTTTTAGCTTTCTTCAGCTTCCCATCATTGGGGTCTTGCTCATTGTCCTTTTTTGGGTCGTCTCCTTGTTCCTCTGAGCAATGGCTGTTGTCAAACTTCCTTTTCAGTCCTACATGGGGATCTTCTGTGTCCTTCTCTGTACTCTCAGATTTGTTGAGGTGGCCGTGGAATATCTCTGTTAAAGTGGGTGGCTTAGCAAGATCGTTGGCTCCCTATAAACACGGCAAACAAAGAAAGTCCTATAAGCTCAAATCACATCTGGTTTTGGAAAACTTCTACAGTTCAGGCAATGAAAAGCAAATTTCAAAACTCAGATCTTGCATACACTTTTTACTGTGAACAAATTTACAAGAAGTTCAAATTTTCAGCTGTCTGCAGGAAGGATAGAACTTTACCTGAAGAGCAGTCTCTAAAGTGTTGGACAGCTGAGACAAAGTGTGAGCTATGGAGTCAAAGCCTCTCATCAAAAGCGACGAGTCTTCCTTCGTTGCTTTTGCACGCTTCAATCCTCCAACATTCTTTTAACAGAAAAAAGAAATTAAATTAACAACAAAACAGAAAACCCATTTTGGGCCAGAAGCAAAATTTACAGTGAAATCAAGAACAAAGAGTAAAAGGAGACACTTACCATTTGAACTGGTAGAGAGGGATCAGCATTTGGTGGGTTTTGGGCAGTTGGGATTTTGGAGCTGGGATCGTCGAGAAGAGTGTCGATCCGGCTGCGGAGAGAGCTCCAAAAGCGCTTATCTGAGGAGGGACTGAACAGAGGAGAAGAAGAAGAAGAAGCCATGAATAAGCTTGTAGCCTTGTGGTTAAGGTGGGTAGGTGATGGTGTATCCACTGAAGCTGCCATTCGCGAGAACAGAGGAAGAATTAACGGCTAGTTTTTGGGATTTTGCAGGAGCTTGTGATAGTGGGATTGATTTAATACTCTATATATAGATGCGCCGAAAGCCAACGTTATAAAATCTATTTCAATTATTTTATTTATTATTGATCTCAACTCAAAGTGGATCTCACCCACTACTTTCTCCTGTTTCTATCTTGACTAAAGTGAGGTGGCTTTTTAGGTTAGGAGAGAGGAATTATTGTGTGGGACACTAACTATGCTGCATCCATAAGGTGTTATCATCTTTTCAAATTTCACACCTATATAACCATTAATATTACACTTTAAATTATAAACTCTAAATCAACACGTGTTATAATGTGAGTGAAATTATGAATTATTGTGAATGATCTATTTAGATGGAATTGAGGTTATGAATGATCTATTTAGATCAAACAAATATCGTGGATAATTTGTTTAAATCGAATAATTGTAGTTTTAAGATCATCAACCTTCTAAACTCATATGTATCTTTGCATGTCTTATTAACCATCTTTTTATCTTTTTATTTTCCACTATGGAGTTACATTTTGGAAGTTATTTGATCATTAGAATTCTTTTTTACTTTTGGTCTTTTGTCACTAATAAACTTCAAAATTAATAATGATATCATTAGCTTGTCTTGCACATTAATGTCATCATCGACGCCAAATTCGTCCAAAATTGTGTTACAAATTTAAGAATATTGTCAAACTACTCCTACCCACCATTACTCGCCTCTCCCCTCCCCCACCCTTCCCTCGACGACCCAAGCCCCAACCACCCCTCGTCCCAATTTTCCCCACCCTTCCATGACTGCCTCCAACACCAAATTTGACAACATTATCTCTAATTTAAATGAGATTGGCCCCCAATAATTGGTTATTTCTAAACATGTCATGGAAGGTATAACGAACATACAATGTCTCCACATTGGATCAATATACGGGGCAAGAGGATGAAGATGACATTGATCACTTTTGAAGTTCGGGGACAAAAAAGCAAGTTTGACATAGTACAGGGACCATTGGGATAAAAAGCCTTTACTTTTATATTCCTATCCTATCCTTTTCATTTTTCATTAGCTACATGTGTATTTATAACTAAAACTTTAATGAGTTGAAAAAAGGAAAATCCAACCCCAAAAAAAAAAAAAAACTCATACTCGGTTTCCCTTTTTTCTTTATCTTGTACTAAGAATTGCTGGTTCTCATACAACCAGTCACAGGCTCGTACTCGATGGCCACTCTTACTTCATCATCATCATCTGTGCTCTTTTCCTCTACACCCTCCAACCTTGTTCCACCTTCTCTCTCTCATCTTCCACGCCTCTCTCTCTCCTCCTCCTCCAACTTCTCTACTCTCTCCTCTTCTCTCTCTATTTCTCATTCTTCTGTCGCACACCCTGCAATTTCCAGGCGCTTCAATCGTTGTTCCTTCAGTATCAAGGCAAGTGCTGGAGAGAAGAAAAAGGTCCTGATAGTGAATACAAATGGTGGTGGGCATGCAGTGATTGGATTCTACTTTGCAAAAGAGCTTCTGGGTTCTGGCCATCAAGTCACCGTATTGACTGTTGGTGAAGAGAGCTCAGACAAGATGAAGAAGCCCCCATTTAGCAGATTCTCAGTTAATATTTTCCACATTATTTCACTGCAAAATTTGTTCCATATGTTTGTATCTCTTTCTAAATAAATTTTCACAGTGGGATTTTTCCTAATTATGGTTGGAACTCTTGGGTGATTTGAATACTTTTTCTCTTAGGAAATTGTAAGTGCTGGAGGGAAGACAGTGTGGGGAGAACCTGCGGAGATTGGAAAGATTTTGGAAGGAACAGCATTTGATGTTGTGTTGGAAAACAATGGCAAAGATTTGGACACTGTGAGGTCGGTTGTTTTGATTCTCTAAAAATCAATTTCAATTGGGGTAGCTTTTGTATGCTATGCTGTCTAAATGTTCAAATATGGTGCGACTCTGTTCTCTCTGCATTTTGCTTACAATTCTTTTTTTTTCTTTTTCTTTTTTAAATTTATAAATTTCAAACCCTTTTTTAGATTGAGCTTTGGCTTTGATTTGGGGGGCTTGATTGGAAACTAAACAAATCATTGTAATTTTCACATAGGCCTGTGGCAGATTGGGCCAAGAGTTCTGGTGTGAAGCAATTCCTGTACATCAGCAGTGCTGGAATTTACAAGCCAACTGAGGAGCCACCTCATGTTGAAGGGGTATATTTGTCTCTAATTCCTCTTGCATTCAACTAAGACCTCATTGCTTTAGTGGTGAACTAAAACCTTCATTATGGCAGGATGTTGTTAAAGCTGATGCTAGTCATGTTGCAGTAGAGAAGTACATTGCAGAGATATTTGGTAGTTGGGCAATATTTCGCCCACAGTACATGTTAGGTTCTGGCAACAACAAAGATTGCGAGGAGTGGTTCTTCGATCGTAAGTAGTTAGTATTAAGCACTTTTTTGATAGTTCATAATATATTACTATGTTGTTTCATGATATTTTCTGTGCAGGAATTTTGAGGGACAGACCAGTTCCAATCCCTGGTTCCGGATTGCAACTTACCAACATCTCCCATGTTAGGGACTTGTCCTCTATGCTTACCCTAGCTGTTGAGAACCCCGACGCTGCATCTAGTAACATTTTCAACTGTGTAAGTGATCGGGCTGTGACCCTCGATGGATTGGCAAAACTTTGTGCTCAAGCTGCTGGACGCCCTGTTAACATAGTGCATTATGATCCCAAAGCTGCTGGAGTTGATGCAAAGAAAGCTTTTCCATTCCGGAACATGGTAATAAATTGTCTTGATCTAAAGAGGGCACAATGCAGTTTCTTTGTACTTTTGACATTGTTGTGTTGCAATGAGTTAATTTTTCGCCTACTTT